AAATCCCTATTAAAATAATTTTGTTGAAAAAAAAAATGCTACATACCCCAAATTCCATTCAGCCTCAATGTAAGGTCCAATTCTTAGGGTCACCCACATACCATTCTCACCAATTGTTTTGATAAATTTCACCAAGTCATAGTTGCCTTCGAAATTGAACTGCACCAAGACAACAAAAAGTTTGATCAGCAACACTCTCATCTTTGTTCGATTTAGCTATTAGCTGACAGTAGATATTAACTGATAGCGAGCCGTAATATCTGATTTGAACATTACCAGAATTAATATTTTGGGCCAAACATATATTAAAATAAGGTTCAAGTCAGGTAATTTAACTTCAATTCGCTAACACAATAATTTTACACAAAAAAGGGGGAAAAGAAAGAAGAATAAAAATAAAGTTGGTAGCTTTTTTAATGAAGCTAACTTGATAATACATCAAAATTTACCTGCCCTTGTACAGGCTCGTGAATATTCCAAAACACATAAGTTTGTATCACGTTCAATCCACCTTCCTTAGCCTTTCTGATGAGGTCAGGCCACATCTGATAATTACCAATATACAACGATTGAAGAAAATGAGAAGAAAAAAAAAAAAAAAATCACCTTTTTTATCCATAATTTAAGGACAAAATTATGAATTTGATTTGATTAACAAACCAAACATTCATATGAACACAAACATTTTCATCACTTTTAGGGCTAAAAATAAATAAAAATAAAAATTAAAGTACCTTTGGTGTGCTACGTGGATAATGTATAGAACCAGAGAAAAGTAATTCTCGGGTCCCATTGATGATAAGAGAGCGCGAATCGTAAGTCACCACCGGTCGATTTTCGTGTTTCTTTTTACCATAAGCACTCACAAAGACTAACGAGAACAACAACAACAGCAAAAATCTATCGTTTTTCATCATTTTTAATTCTCGTGCAAAACACTCTATTTTATTTTTTTCCCTTGACTTACGATTTGAGGAGAAAAGAACGAGCCTCTTTCTTCTCTACGTAAGAGAAGGAGGTCGAACTTAGGAGAACGAACGTCGTTAAAACAACATTCATTTATACAAAAACAAATCTTAAAAACGAAAGGGTCATGACAATGTTTAGGTCCAGGAGTTGTTCTCGGGGTACATGTGTTTTTTCTCATTTTTAGTTGTTTTTATGGGCCTTTGATTTATTGATGTCTAATTTTAGAAACTTCGATAATTTGTGGTGGTACAATATTGAGTTTTTTTTTCATGTATTATAGATTTTTTTGTGCAATGTGGAGAGAAGTATGGAAGTTCAGTAAATTACGTGCAAGAATTAGTATGAAACACAAAAAAATAAAAAAAATAATAAAAAAAAAATCACAAATTATGAACACGTACATCGCACTTCTCCTGCTCGGCAACTGTCTGATACTCGCCGTTCTGTTGGACCACCGTGTACTTGGTAGGGTCACTGATGAATCTCACAGTCTTAGTGTAAAACCAATCAATTTACCCTCCTCAGCCTGTAGGAAGTGATCCACATAGGCATCTTGGAGGACATTTTTTTCTCTTTCATCGACTGAGCCCTTGGTAAAAGTCTTAGTGTAAAACCAATCAATTTAACCCTCCTCAGCCTGTAAGAAGTGATCCACATTGGCATCTTGGAGGACATTTTTTTCTCTTTCATCGACTCAGCCCTTGGTAAACTGTGAATGAAAGGCGGCTCAATCACCAAATGCTCTCCCAGTCATTCTCAGGCATGTGTGGTGTGTCTCCCATTCTTGCTTATCTCTAATCATCGAATTTTGGGGGATGGACTGTTGACACCCAAACTGACGGAGAACCTTATCAGACAAGTGGATTTCACGTATGTTCCAACAGAAGATCCACCCCTTATACATCCAAATATGTTGATCTTCTGTGCACTAATCCTGGATAGTACCATCCTCAAGGTATTGTTCATAGGGCACCCAATCGAACTGTAAAAAAAAATTGAATTAGAAATTAAGTTATAAAAAAATTAAAAATGATGCTTGCATGGCCAAATTACTCTTAAAATCATATTCTCCCAAATCTTTTGACCTACATATTAAACGTGCTTCGCACGACTTTACTTTTTTGGCTCGTTCGGACTCGTTCAAGCTCGTAATTGAGTTTCGTCTCTTCCTATATGTCGCCAACGAACCCGTCTACACAACAATAATTGCCCTGTCAATTTTTGGGTTAAATCCATTCCTAACGGAGCTAAATAATTAACAAATCACCCATTAACAAATCATCCATGGACCATCTATTTATATAATGGACGATTTGTTAATTATTTAGCCCGTGAGGAATAGAAGTAGCCCGAAAATTGACCGGGAAATCATTGTTGTGTAGCCGGTTCATTGGCGACATATAGGAAGAAGTGAAAATCAATTTCGAGCTTGGACGAGTCCGAACGGGCCTAAAAAACAAAGTCGCGCGAAACACGTTTAATGTATAGATCAAGAGCTTTGGGAGAATATGATTTCAAGAATAATTTAGTCATGCAAACATCGTTAAATAGAAAGGTTTGTTAGTTACGTATAGAAAAAAACGGAACTCAATTCCGAGTTCAGACGAGCCCAAACGAGCTCGAAACACAAAATACATACTATATATTAATTTTTTTGAAATATAAAATATATTAGCAAAATACGTTTTATTTATTATTTTTTTAAAAAACGTATTATGGTAATACGTTTTATAATGTTTTTAACATTTTACAAATATAACATTTATAAATCCATGATAAATTCAATGGATGAATTGTGATAACACTTCTAACATATTCATACAAATATTTTGAAGTATATTATCTATAAAATATTTCAACATTCTAAAAAATATTTGTAATAAATTTAAATAGTATGATATTTTTTGTAATATCTTTAGATTGTAAGTATTTTAGATAATATGAAATTTCTAAAAATATTTTTTGATATTGAAATAAAAAAATAATATTCAATGAAACTGAGAAATATATAATAAAATTAACAAATTAGTGTTGATATTGAAAAATTCAGCCCATATAAGATAAATAAAGACATCATAAGACTATGAAATCAGTGAAATTTTTATATTTCATAAATATTTATAGCTTTTATTTGTAAGAATTATCGGCAGTTATCAATTGGTAATTAATTGTTTTCAATCTAATATAAAATAATAATTGAATATAATTTATAAATTTGTTATATATGTTGGTAACATTGAAAATTTGTAAAAATTAATGTTAGATATTAGTATCTTAAAAATCCAAAATGCCTGAAAAGTATAAGAAACAATCCATCAAAAAAATAATTCATAAATAAAAAGCAATTTAAAACTAACCTTTACGAACTATATACAAAAAATTTATTAAACACGAAAGCATAAAAAATATAAAAGAAATAAAATAATTGACATGAAACTTCAAATTAATCATTTCACACCCGACTACAAACTAAAAATCAATTTACATTAAAGTCCCCACAAATCTAATACTTCATGAAAACAAACTAAAAAAAAAATACACCTAATAAAAAGTCACAATAAAACTTTTCCTACCACTACATCCTTCAAATATGTTTGTAATGCATTAAAAAAAAAAACTCTACAAATGCTGAAACAAATATTAAAAAAAAAACTACAAAATTCATTGAATCCTAACACAAGCAACTCTGCAAAAATAGATAATAATCGCAATTTATTAACCAAATGTTACAAATTTAGTATCACTTTAGGGATATCAAACTTTCCTCGTAAAGCATGGCTTGGAATGTCCAATTCTTGCCGTCGATTTCAAACCTTTGATCTCCATACGACCACGCCAACCGCACTTTGTGATCCTTCCCAAAACTCGCCATAAGAAGGATCTCATTCTTCCACAAGAATAAGGGATCCCCACATGAATCAGACGCATATCGAATCTTGAATTTCTTTGTCCACGATTCGACCACCCCATATTCTTGCATCGCCCATATATCAACGGCTACGCCACAATCGATGTACACTGCAAGAGATCCATCCAAAACTCGAAGAAGATTTCTGCTGGATGAAAACTTGAATGCCCTAGGAAACTCCATAGGACGAAACATCTCGTTGTGCATGTCGAAAGAAAGTATGAACTGTCTCCTTGGTAGTTTGTGATGGTACGAGATCCAATGGCAACGCCCATTGACCGTGGGCACAATGCCAATATTATTTACTAGTGTGGGGGGGTCGTGGGAGGTGCTTCTCCAAGTGTTGGAAGACGAGCTGTAAATTCGAGCTTTGAATAGCCTGAGTTTGTTGCGGACATGGCTTTTAGGACGGTAATATGCAATTGAAATTACCTTGTAGTCCTTGTTGTGGATTCCGAATCCGATTGCATGATTACTACATCTGTGGTATCCATAGAGTCGAGGGAAATGGCTCGGAGGGAGTAGCTTAAACTCTCTAGTCGAAGGGTTGCACAACTTAATCTTCTTGTTGTTCGAGTATTTGTAACAAACCAACCCATTGCAAGGCGTCGAGATAGCCCTTACCGAATAGGGCTTTTTTGCAATTTGTAGAGGTGGTGCAACTAAATTTAGAGATTCGTACGAATGAAGGGAAACCACCTCTGTTTCCACAGTACGAAAAATCAGAACTTGCTTATTAGCTCTCTTTAGCGAGTGATGCTTGAAATGCTTTTCAGCAAAAGATCGATTTGTGATTAAACTATTCCAGGATTTACAGACGCACTTCAGACGGGTCAATGTTTTCACGGGCAATGTAACCAAAATCTCTTCTATCATGTCTGTTTCTATTGATAGGTTAGAGCTCATCTCTTCCATTGCGTCTTCCATTGATAGCCTAAAGGCACACGGAATATCTGGAATTTAGAATCTGAAATAATCAATCTCCCTTTGGCAGCACCATAATTTAGAAATTTCAACTTAAAGGCCGTGACACGACAAACATATTGGTGACTGAATTAGTTATACTAAAAAGTTATGAATAGAAATCACATTTTTATACTAACTGTGTTTACAAATAAGTGTAACTAGTAAGTGCAACATGAGAATGAAAACAAGTGTAACAGAAGAAAAAACAGACAAGGCTTTGCTAAATCTCTCTAAATCATTCATATGTTTGAATGACACTCTAAACCATTCATATTCCTAAATCTTTGGAGACAATAAATCTTAAGAATCTGACATCAGAATATATAACAAATTTTAAAAAACTTGACTTTGAGCAGCTAGGTTTAGATCAAGCTTGGTCACCCTATATTATTCGGATTATCCTCATAAGACGCACTGTTCAAATTTATATTTTTGGCACCACATATCTCAACAAAAATCTGACCAACTTAAAGATAACCTCTACACAAAAAAAATTCAATCAAAATAAAGAAAACACAAATATAAACAGCTCGTACACCTTTTTCGCAGATAGCCTCAAAATCAATCCGATTTGAACAAATAAACTTAAACACTCACAACAATTACCTGATTTGAAGCGGAGACGAGGTGTGCTAGGCTAAATTGGTTGTGAAGCTTCGACGGGTCAATCTAGGGCAAAGGCGCGGCGTCCGGGTTAAAAACCCGTATGTGAGAATCGGTCGAGCTTGGGCTGGGCTTAGGCTGATGTCTTAGAGGCCCGCTATAGGCTGGGCTTACGCTTAGAGTCTCCTAGCCAAGCGCGGGCCATCAGGCTGATGATTTAGGGCCAATTAACATACCTCTATATACTTCTTAAAATATTTTTTACATTATTCTACTACTTTTTGAGTTTTCCGATTTTATTCCTTCGTATATTCCATTCTGCACGCCTTTAGAAACCCTTTTTGGCTCTATTGGTTCTACGTCTTTTTTTCTTTTTTNCTCGAACAAGATCGTCTATTGTAAAAGATGGCGGAGGTATGAATAGGATAAAAAACGAAAAGCCACACCCTATGTTCGAGAAAACTGAAACACCTGATGGATAAATCGTTGACGATGATCGGACGGTTAGCTATCAGCCTTTCTGAAATTGGGGATCAAATTCGACCGCCGGTTGGATAAAATATGACGGTAATCGTGCCAAAAAATGGTTTTTTGGAGAGGGATTGATTTTTAAGGAGATTGAATGAAAGTTTGCGCGAGATTCTCAGCGCCATGGCTATGGAGAATGAGGAATTTTTTAGGATCGTCAGGCTAGGAGTATGGAGAGCGATCGTCTATTTTTTTTCTTTTTATAATTTCTTGTTGCCAAAAGTAGGGCTCATTTTTTTTGGGTAGTTGAGTAATTGATGAGATGAGAGGCAAAAGAAGAAAGGGTCAATTTTTTACTATAACTAGCACGTAGCTACGTGCGATGCACGAGACATAAGTATTAATGAGTTATTTTCATATAAGTAGCGCTAGCCCGTAAATTAATTAATATATTATCTCACTCACATGTTTATAATAATATAAATTTGATTTCATTATATATATTTATTCATTGATATAAGAAAAATAACAATTTTACGTAATCTTGTTTCTCGTATAATACTTATATTATTTCATTATAAAATTTATTGTAGTATAATGTCATTATTATTATAAGTTATACATGTAATCTTCTTCTTCTTTTTGTTTTATGTAATTAAAATATTTAATGTATGTTCATATTATTAATTAATGTAATTAATTTAAATTATGTAAATAAATTTAAAGTAAAACATTTTGTACAAATATTTTACAAAATGTACACAAATGTTTTTTTAGAATTTAATTTTTTTACAATATTTTATGAGATTATTTTAACTAAACCGATGTTATGGAATAAAACAAATCTATACTTACATTTGACTTTTCCAGCAAAGGTAAAAAAATCGGTTATGATTTTTATCCCATAATAAATCTTTAATGTCAAGTTATAAATACCAAAACAAATCTGTAATTAATGCCATTCTATTTCCAGCAAACATTAATTACTTTTGACTTTTCTTTATACTAGATCTGGTAAATAGGATATCTTTTAATATAAGTATAGATTTGTTTTTATTTTGTTGTTGATGTAAAGTTGTTTTTGCATTGTTACGAATATTGTAATGATGTTTTTTTCTTTTTGTTGTTGTATCATCACTTTTATTATTTATGCATATTGGTTTGTGAGTTTTGCTATGGAATCATCGGATGGCTCAGCTTATGGAGTTATCCATACTTATTCACCAATAGTGTATTGACACGTGTCCTGCAATAAATACACTTTGAACAGGTATCAATACATTAATTGGTGGATGACTCCATAAGAAAACCATCCGATGATTCCATAGAATTTTTGATTGGTTTGTATCCATCTTTTACTTGATAATGAATTCTCAAATTTGAATGTGATGAATCCATCCTGCTGATCTTTTTAGTTTGAAGTTAGACTTCCAAATTTTTATATAAAAAAATTAATCATGATATATACTTTGATTATCTTCAATATACTATTTACCTTTCTTATCTTCTTTCTTTTTTTCATTCAGCTTCTTTCTCCCCCTTTTTAAGTCCTTCTTAGTTGCAGTTTTGTTTTTCTGAACATGTATACCGTTTATCCTCTGTAATGGCTCTATGTTGTTCTNATTCAATTTTCAAATCACTACATGCATGTAACTTCTACTTTTTAAAAAAACTCTAATTTTATATTTAAATTTATATTTATTTATTTAGAGCCTATTTAAATGAGTCTGGAAGTTATACCTAAATTGAGATCAATTCATGCATTTTTGGGAAATTTTTAGCAACCATAACTTTAAAAGGTCATTTTCAAGGATTTAAATTTGCTTGGGCCTTATTATAGGTTAACTTCAAGTAGCCAGATCTTTTACTGTTGATGAATTTTATGGTGCAAACACTATTTAGCATACTAGAGAGAAATTGAATTGAAACAAAAGTCACCTTTGAATAAACTCTAAAGGAACTAGCACATTAACCTATCATCATTGGTTTATTTGCTATTTCATTTTTTTTACTCCTGCGAAAGAGCCATTAATTTTATATGAATTATTTTATTCTTTTTATATCATTAATTTTTATCATCTTTTAACATTAAAATATGATAAAATTACAAAAACAAGTTATATATATAATATGTATAAATTCATGATAAATTCAATGGATGAATTGTGATAACACTTCCAAACTAGTCATACAAATATTTTGAAGTAAATTATCTATAAAATAAAAAAACATTCTAAAAAGTATTTTTAATAAATTTTAATAGTATGATATTTCAACATTCTAAAAAACATTTGTCATAAATTTAAATAGTATGATATTTCCTTTAATGTCTTTAGATTGCTAATATTTTAATTATTATGATATTTCTAAAAATATTTTTTGATATTGAAATAGAAAAATAAAATTCAATGAAACTGAAAAATATATAATAAAATTAACAAATTACTGTTGATATTTAAAATTCAGCCCATATAAGATAAATAAAGACACTATAAGACTATTTAATTAGTGACATTTTTATATTTCATAAATATTTATCATAGCTTTTATTTGTAAGAATTATCAGCAATTATCAATTGGTAACTAATTGTTTTCAATCTAATATAAAATAATAATTGAATATAATTTATAAATCTGTTAAATATTTTGGTAACATTAAAAATTTGTAAAAATTAATATAAAATGAAATAGATATTAGTATCTTAAAAAACCAAAATGCCTGAAAAGTATAAGGAAGAAGAAAAATGCTACAGGTACATAATATTATACATCGAGGTGTACATAACACTCACATTGAGTGGGACCGATAAAAAAATTCAAGTGGACTCCACTCCATGTGAGTGTTACGCTTTTTTCAAAGAAAATCCATCCAAAAAATGATTCATAAATAAAAAGCAACTAAAAACTAACCTCTACAAACTATGTACACAAAATTTATGGAAAATTCAAACACAAAAGCATAAAAATATATAAGAAATAAATTAATTGACATGAAGCTTAGAATTAATCATTTCACACCCGACTACAAACTAAAAACCAATTTACATTAAAGTCCCCACAAATCCAACAACGTAAAAACAACATAACTTCATGAAAGCATACTAAAAAACAATACACTTAATAAAAAGTCACAATAACACTTAAACCAAAGTATCTATCCCTATTTTCTCTCTCTAACACCTTTTTCCTCCCTTTTCCCCCTTCTTCACGAAACCTAATTTGTGTTGTGCCGCCGCCCCCCCTCTTTCGGCGGGTCGCCCTCTGCGGCCACCGGGCCAACCTTGACGAGTCGTGGCTGAGAGCTGCTTTTCCACCCCTCCCAGTTTCGGGCTCGGCTGGGCCGAAGGTGGATATCACCGCCTTATCTTCCAAGGCACCGGTGAGGTTGCCGGCCGCCGTATCCAGCTCCAGCCTAGGGAGACGTCATGCCGCTTGAGTTCTGGTCTCGCGTGCCTCAGTTCAGTTCCTTGGAGGGCGCCGTTCTTAGGCTGTGGTATGCCATAACGGGGCTGCCCCGACTGGCCGCCGGTACGCCTGATTCCCGACTTGTCGGGTCGGGCTATTTCAGATGCGGGTCCATCTTGGGTGCTCTCTTCGGGTTTTTGTCTCAAGATCTCAGGCGAGTTCTTGCCGGTCTCCATTACTATCCAAAGAATTGAAGTACTTCGGAGTCCAGATCTGGGCCGAAAATCTGTCTAGGCAGGCGAGTCCCGCAGTTTTCGGGTTTGGAGCTTAGTTCTTGTTGCTCGGTTGGGGTTCTTTGTTGTGGGTGTGACTCAATAGTTGGTCTATGTGGTTGTGGGGTTCGTCTGCTAGGTTTATAGAAGGTTTTATTGTATTTTGTTTATTATGTGTGAGTTGTTATTTATTTTTTTCTGTTGTTTTTTCGTTTAGTCCAGCAGCATCTGGTTGTTAGTCTTCGCTTTGGAGTTGATATCTCCCTTATGGAGTTTTGTTTTTGCGGTTAGGTCTCCTAGATGGAGGTTGTACCCCTTGAACACGTGAGTGAAATCCAAGGGGGGTTGGTCCAGTTTTTCTGGTTCCAGTAGTGTCGGTTGGCACTTCGATCTGTACTCTTTTTGAGTTTTTAAGTTATTAATATAATTGACGTTGGAAAAAAAACATAAGATTTTCCTTTCAAAAACAACATAACATCAACCTAAGCATAGAGGTCAACTTCTGAACACTAAACAAAGTACCTTCCACATCAATACATCATCAATGAAATATGTTCCACGATACATTAACTATTGAATCATTTGTGAAGCACAAAAAATTAAGTCACATCTAATATGTTTCCGTTAAGACACACTTGACTTGTGCATTTCCAGCCACATCTTGTCGGATATGCATCTAAGTGAAGCATCTTCACTCTCGTATTCAATCATAAGCTTCTTCCTCCCATGCGCATAAATGAGTATGCAATATACCTATTTGTATTCATATTTTAATTTAGTATCCATAAAAATCAAAGAAGATTAAATTTCTTTCCATAAGGTTTTAACTGGAAAAATAAAAGAAAAACCCTTTTTTTAAGTATTTTATCTAGCAATTCATGCACGCTAGGCGATACCGAGAGCATATTTAATTTTACGCATTTTAACCCAAGCCAATACCATGCACGCTAGGCCAACTAAAGGTATCTTGATTGATATTTCCAATTGATGAGTAAGCCCAGCCTTTAGTTGGCGGGCCTCTAAGACATCAGCCTAAGCCCAGCCCAAGCTCGACCGATCTCAGTTCTTATACTCTTCCTCTCTCGTCTTCTTTCAGCTGGTTACGAGAGGCGACCTGGACGCCGCACCTTTGCCCCAGATTGACCCGTCGGAGCTTCACAACCAATTTAGCCTAGCACACCTCGTCTCCGCTTCGAATCGGGTAATTGTTGATGTTTGTGTTTTCTTTATTCGATTGAATTTCTTTGTGTAGAGGCTCTGTTTAAATTGGTCAGATTTTTGGTGGGATACGTGGTGGCAAAAATATAAATTTGAACAGAGCCGTCTTGTGAAGATGATCCGAATAATATAGGGTGGACAAGCTTGATCTGAACCTAGCTGCTCAAAGTCAAGATTTTAAAATTTACTGTGTATTCTGATGTAAGATTCTTAATATTTATTTATTGTCTCCAAAGATTTAGGAAATTGGCATTCAAACATATGAATGATTTAGAGAGATTTGGCAAAGCCTAATCTGTTTTTTCTCCTGTTACACTTGTTTTCATTCTCATGTTGCACTTGTTTTCTCCTCTAAGCCCAGCCTATAGTCTTCCTCACGTACAAATCTCGTCGTCTTTCAGCATAACTAGGTACGAAAGGCGACCCGTACGCCGCGCCTTTGCCCGAGATTGACCCGTCGGAGCTTCAATTCACAAATTATCACAACCAATTTAGCCTAGCACGCCTCGTCCCTGCTTCAAATCAGGTAATTGTTGTGAGTGTTTAAGTTCGTTTGTTCAAATCGGATTGATTTTGAGGCAATCTGCAAAAAAAGTTGTACGAGCTGTTTATATTTGTGTTTTCTTTATTTGATTGAATTTCTTTGTGTAGAGGTTATTTTTAAATTGGCCAGATTTTGTTGGATATGTGGTGCCAAAAATATAAATTTGAACAGAGCCGTCTTGTAAGGATGATCCGAATAATATAGGGTGAACAAGCTTGATCTAAACCTAGCTGCTCAAAATCAAGATTTTAAAACTTACTGTATATTCTGATGTCAGATTCTTAATATTTATTGTCTCCAAAGGTTTAGGAAATTGGCATTAAAACATATGAATGATTTAGAGAGATTTGGCAAAGCCTAGTCTGTTTTTGACTTTTTTCTCCTGTTACTGTTACACTTGTTTTCATTCTCATGTTGCACTTGCTAGTTACACTTATTTGTAAACATATTAAAGATTTGTATCTAATTATGAGTTTTTATTCTTTGTTTATTGAGATTTTTTGAGAATATTAATAGATGTATTCTGATGTTAGGGCTGTGACGCGGAGAGATTTTACAAAGCCTAATAATTTGTTAACTCTCCAATTTGTTAGACTTATTTTCTTGTACTCACAGTTTTTCTGCAGGCACGACTAATTAATTCAGTCTCTAATGGAAGAGATCCTCTCTAACTTCTCAATGGAAGAAGACGTGATAGAAGAGATTTTGGTGAAGTTTCCGGTGAAAACATTGATGCGTATGAAGTGCGTTTGCAAGTCTTGGTGTAGTTTAATCGCAAGTCAATCTTTCGCCGAAAAGCATCTCAACCACCACTCTGCAAACAAATCCAATAAACAAATTATGATTTTTCGTACCGTGGAAAAGGACATTGTTTCCCTTCATTCGCACGAATCACTAAACTTTGTTGCACCACCTCTACCAATTTCGAAAAAGCCCATGGTAGTCGGGCTTATTTCTACACCTTGCAGTGGGTTGATTTGTTACAAATCCGCAAACGACGAGATTATGATGTGCAACCCTTCGACTCGAGAGTTTAAGCTACTCCCTCCGAGCCATTTCCCTCAACTCGATGGATACAAATATAGATGTCATGCAATCGGATTCGGAATCCACAACAAGGACTACAAGGTTATTTCAATTGCAAGTTACCTTCCTGAAAGCCATGTCCGCAACCAAGACAGATTATTCAAAGCTCGAATTTACAGCACGGTTTCCAACACTTGGAGAAGCACCTCCCACGACCCCACGCCAGTATATATTAGAGGCATTGTGCCCACGGTCAATGGGCGTTGCCATTGGATCTCGTACCATCCCGAAAAACTGTTCATACTTTCTTTCGACATGCACGACGAGATGTTTCGTCCTACTTCCTAGTGTAGTGAAGTTTCCAAGCAACGATAATAATCTTCAAGTTTTGGATGGATCTCTTGCAGTGTACATCGATCGTGGCGCAGCCGTTGATATATGGGTGATGCAAGAATATGGGGTGGTCAAATCGTGGACCAAGAAATTCACGATTCGATATGCGTTTGATTCATGTGGGAATCCCCTACTCTTGTGGAAGAATGAGATCCTTCTTATGGCGAGCATTGGGAAGGATAGCAAAGTGCGGTTGGCGTGGTCGTATGGAGACCAAAGGTTTGAAATCGACGGCGGCAGGAGTGGGAGATTCCAAGCCATGCATTACGAGGAAAGTTTGATATCCCTAAAAGGGAGATTAAATTTGTGACATTTGGTTAATAAATTGCAATTATTATCAATTTTTGCGTATTTGCTTGCTCGGGTTAGGATTCAATGAATTTGGGTGTGTTTGATCCTTTTTTTTTTATTAATAATCTATTTTTGCGTATTTGCTTGCTCGGGTTAGGATTCAATGAATTTGGGTGTGTTTGATCCTTTTTTTTATTATTATTGTATTGGCTTGGGTTAAAATTTAACATTCAATATGCTCTCTGTTTTATTTTGTGATTGTTAGTTTACATGATATATTAGTTTGTTTTGTTGTTGTATCTTGTTTGTTTCGAACTAATTCGGTGTTATGAACTAATGCGGTGTTATGAGCACATGCTCTCTGAGGCAGGTATCTCACTCTTATATATATATATATATATATATATATATATAGGAGTGAGCATTTCTTGTTACACACGATTTATTCATTTTTACTAAGATATCTCACTCTTATATATATATACGAGTGAGCATTTCTTGTTACACACGATTTATCCATTTTTACTCGAGAATTGAGTGATTTTTACTCTTGAGAATTGAGTGATTTTTACTATTTTTACTAAGATATCTCACTCTTATATATATATACGAGTGAGCATTTCTTGTTACACACGATTTATTCATTTTTACTCGAGAATTGAGTGATTTTTACTCTTGAGAATTAAGTGATTTTTACTAGTGACACGATTTATCCATTTTTACTCGAGAATTGAGTGATTTTTACTCTTGAGAATTGAGTGATTTTTACTCTTGAGAATTGAGTGATTTTTACTAGTGAAACATATACTGACTTAAGCAGCATTGACTTAAGCAGCATTTCTTGTTACACACTACTAGTGCGTAGCCCGTGCGATGCACGGGTAAACTATATAAAATAATAATTATAAATTAATGAGTGAATAAACAATATTGAATAATAATTATAAATAATTAAATGGAGCTAACATGGGATACCATTTACAATATAAAAAATTATCTTGTCTAAGATAACATAAAACATGCATGTTTAAAATATTAAAAACACCTAAAATATTATATAACAAATATAAGATTATGTAAAATATTACATATTATTCTTAAAAAAATTGAATTCACCTAAATTTTTTCTAAACTATTTTGTAACCAAAACATGTCTAAGGATATTTAAATTTAACATATACATATAATTTAATCTATAGAATGCGTTAAAATTTACTCGATAAATATGTTTAAAAGTATAAAAAATATTAGTAATTACAAATTACTCCAACAGAAGATTTCAAATTTGAAATCACGAAATTTAAACAAAATAAGTCAAAAATTTTGAAAAAGTGTAATTTATAAAATACATGTCAAATTGAAAAACATAATATTAGCGGTTTCCAAAATAAAGATTGTATCTATTTCCAAAATAGGATTATCGGTTCCGAAAAAATATAAATTTCGAACTCATAGTATTTGAAATCTGAAATTTTGATATTATTAAATTGAAAGAGTCCCAACCTTTGAAAATTAATAAATTTTTAAAAGTATTTGAAATCTAAAAGTGATTTAATAGGCCTACCCAAGCATATGAGCAATGGACACAAATATTCTCCTAAAATGACCTCTTCACCACTGTCCATTCATAAGTATATAACATCATCATGCAACTTTCCTGCATTAAGTGAACAATAAAGTGAACTGGGCATCATCCTTGAACATTTTAGTCACAGTGATGAATACTTGCAAACAAATTTTGCATAACTTCAGGTCACCAAACAATTCAAACACTCAAAAACACGCGCTGAGAAAATAAAGTTCAAATCCTACATTTTTTTTTTCATCTCAAGCAAGAAACTATTCGTCCTCATCTCTGTAGATGCTCTCAGCCATTTGCCAAACCTGCAACGAGTTGTCCTCCGCCACACTCGAGATAACCCATGGCTCGTTTTTGTTCCACGAGAAGTCGGAAATTTTGGCTTTGTGGCCCCCATGAGAAAATAGCAGCTCGGGTGGACCATCTTCTGCTTCACCTTCTAACTGCTCGTCTCCAACCCTTTTAAAAGAGAAGGAAAAATAAAGAGAACGAAATAAAGGCATGAGCCGAAAAATAGAAACAATAGTTTTGTGTAGAGAACAAAAATAAGAAGTAAGAAGATAATATTTACCTGTTAAGGTCCCAAACCATCAACCTTCTGTCATCAGCAGAAGATGCCAAAACAGTTTCGTGGTTTGGATCCCATTCCACCTGGAATACCTCTTCCCTGTGTATACATATGAAAATCAATATAGTTGACGAATGATAACCTTAGTAACTGACTGGTTACAGCAGAGGAGATTAATATCACTAACTAGAAGATATTGCAAGCACCCAGCCAAAAGTTCTTAGAACTGAATCAGCATGATTGTATTGTATACAATACAGTCTTGCTAGTATCGGTTTCTTTTTCTCAAATGTTTGAAAGAGATCGTCTATGTCAGAAGAATACTATTCTCATGTATGATTTATCATCAGCATGGACTAAAAGGGGTTTGCTGTTATCAAGGACCCGTTTTCTTTTCGAGGACATCCTCAGATTTCTTCAAAATTTTATTTGCTAAGGAATATATTCGAAGTGCTTATTAGTTATTTATCCAGAGACATGAACTATTATCTTTTGAGTGGTCACTTAGACTGAACCAAAATGAAAGTGACTTACATATGACTGCTAAGGGCATGCAGTGGAGAACTCAAGTTCCTCATATCAAACAGACCAACTGTAGAATCAGATGATGCCGTAGCCAAAACATTCTCGTAAAATGGATTGAAAGATAAATAGTTCACCTGACATTTAACAGAAACAAGACATGTTATAAAGTGTAAGAAGATGACAACATGAGCATGAATACATAAGATCTGGGAAATAAAAACAGCAGATAAGTCGACAAACCTCTTTCTCATGTACAACAACAGACTGTTGGAACTTGTTCGTGCGCAAGTCCCAAATCATTAGCTTACAATCATCTCCAACAGAGCCAAACAAGTTTTCATTCTTCAAATGCCATGCCACATCCTCAACTACGTTTTCATGTCCCTAGAGCAACAAAGCACAATTTTTGTGGTCACATGCAAGTACATAAACACAAAAATCTCTCACTATCAACAGAAACAGCTTTGAGATTACAGAGAGGTTGATTGTCTATTTATTACCTCAAAAGTGTATTTTGCGTCAAGCACTTTCTGTTGAGGCATTGCAGAGACATCCCACAAACAAATTTTGCAATCATTTGAACCACTCAAAAGATATCCTTCCTTGAATGTGCTCCAGGACAAGCCATACCCTTCTTTATCATGGCCTCTTAATCTCAAGTCAGGGTCATTAGAACCATGTTCGGAATCCACCAGCTGCTTGGTCGAGTCAAATATGTATACTTCAGCGCCATTGGTCTTGGCAGCAATTATAGCTTGGTTTTGGGGAATACAACGAGCTCTGTTCACTTCCCCATCGACTTGCATTTTTTGTACTATCTCTACCTGCACATAAGCAATGAACATCTCAGCCAGCAGCTTAAAACCATTGTCGTGTTTTCAGAAAGACCTGCTCTTACAGAATTGGCAGAAGAACCTGGATGATCTTAGAATCTTACCCTGAAAGAGAATCTAACCCGTTCAGCTAAAGGGTTCAGATAACATATAGAGCACCCTTGAGGAAAACATGACGGGTAAACAAAAAATGACATTTCAAGAAAAAGAAGATCGCATTTAGATGACATCCCCAGATGCGCGATGAAGCCACGAAAACATAAGCCTCAGTGACTCAGTTTATAAAAAGCAATAAGTTATCCACCTATAACATCATGGATAAAACTAACAGGTGATTCGCTAAAAATCTTGCAGTTTTCAGCTCTGTGAACATTGTTATCGTGTTTTATATACCACACAGAATTTTGCTCATGTCTATATCAGGACAACATTGTAACTATTACTGAGCGCTGGCAAATTGAAATACCACATGACTCAAAGTTAAAAGCATGGCATGTATTCACATTTCACTTATCATGAGAAAAGATTTTCATTATATTCTATACTTAGCCCACGTATCAAACTTTCATGCTTAGCTGCTTCACAATGGAATTCAAAATACTAAACCAGTATAATAATGAAAATTAAAACCCTATCACAGACATTCATTTAGTACTTTACTCAAACAATTGGTGCTCAACACACAATACATTATACACAAACAGTATCCAAACAAAATCCAAGATACAAAACGTTATTTAACCACAGACCTTGGGTACGATGGAGTTTTCGAGGTCGACTGCAATGGCGGAGGAAGGATCTCGCGGGAGATACGCGTCCGCAAGCATGAGAAAGTTGGGGAAATCATCGGACGTGTGTGTCCCAAGGATCAATTTGTGGACAGATAGATCGCCGCCGTCGGAAGACGGAGGGGACGGCAGCCACTGGACGGTGAGGGACGGCCACTCGAGGGAGTGGCAGACGACGAGGTCGTACAGCAACGGCGTATTTTTCTTCCACACTGAAAATTCCTCCTCCACTACCTCTTCCATTGCTTTCTCTCTCACTCACTCTCTCTCTCTCTCCTCACTCTCTCTCTCCTCTCTCTAACCACACAGCAGGTGCATAAATGAGAAGCTTGTAAATTATGAGAGATGAACGTTTCCCGCCAAAATGTGAAATCCGAGGGAAATTATGGCGGAGCTGAAGAAGGTTAAGAGGAGTTTTAGTGTAGGTTGGGCTGATTGGGCTAAAAGAATGAGTGCACTTGTATATTGGGCTGGGTTTTGTGGCCTGTAACTGGGAGGTTAAGGGAAATAGCTCATCTGTTTGGCAACTTGGGTCGATAATAGTCAAGCCTTTGATGGGCCTTAAAGTCCAGCCATGATTAAAATCTGATGACCCACATTTTTTTTTTTGTTTTGGGCAAATAATCTAATATTCTACTAATAGTCGGTTTTCGCAGTTCTTTGCGGTTTGCACACAACCGCAATAAAACACAAATTCTACTATGAGATTGGTTAATTGTTAGGCGAGATAACTATAAATCATCATTTTTTTTAAAAAAAAATGCATATATTACATTGTAAATGTCCTATTTTTATTTATATTAAATTTTTAGCATGATTACACATATTTGTTAAAACAAATAGATTGTCTACCAGCTTAATACAAATCTTCCTGTTAATACAAGCATGCTTAGTCCTTTTGTATATAATGTTGCTTTGTTTGTGTACTACCAAAGTGCACTTTCAAGTTTCAAAAGAGTATATTTGCAACTTATATAGATTGGAGGGGCTACTCGTAATTAGATTGAAATTCGTGGATGGCCACTAAATCATACTTAAAATCGTTTTTGGAGTTCATTTCTCTCAAACCTCCAAATTCTGACAGTTTCATAATTGACTAATATGCCAATACTTTCTCTGATATCTCCTCTCAGCCACATGCTTTGTTTGACTAATCACTCAAAAGCCCAATCAGGGCAAACTTCATTATGTTCTAAAATTTCAATTGGTGATTGACTTGGTGGGCCCAATAAGTAGCATTAGATTATTGATCAATAAAAGATTTGTATAATACAAATTTTTGTAAGAGGCAACCGAACTTTTACGCGGTGGATCTGTTATACTTTTTTTACATTAATAAATAATTATTATATAAAAATTTGTACTTTTGCTTATAGTATTTGTTATATTCTTTTAACATCAATACATAATTATGATATAATTAAAATGTTATACTAAATTTTTTAGAGTACCATTTGTATATCTATTCATAGCATTTTAGTTTGAAAGTGTGTGTATCTCTTAGTAACTCTCATATTTGTCTAGCATCATCATTATTGTTTATACTATTAGTAGCATAATGTCATATGTAGAATTTGAAATTGTTGGGATCCTTTTGTACTACTAGTTTTCTTCAACAAATTCCAACTAGCTTCTAGGTTAGTTTGCATATACAACCAAACACAACAAAGTCCAATTAAGCACCCAAAAAAAAAAGTGATATCAACCAAAAGCCTCACTCACCACAACTTTTAGCCTGTCCTCAAACCAAACACATAAAGCAAACACAACACAACACCATATGACCATACATACAAAGGCCAACAAAACCTCCATAATTACTCCACATGCTGATATGCAAATCAAAACTTTAAACCAAAAAGTATCATCACACAAACACACACACACACAATATCTCCATTGACATCAACAAGAATCTCCATTACACAACCAAATCATCAAAACACACAAACAAAAGTCACACAAAACCTAACACAATCCAAATCCCCCATAACAACCTCACACTTATACAAACAAACAAACAAGACAAAAGGCAACCAAACATCATAAACCTTAAAAAACCCATCACATGACGACACAAGCCGAGGGATTCTCGTCGCTAAAAGCCGTCGTGTACCTAACCTCAGTCGAGCTCGCTCGAGCCAACTGCGAAATGCGTGGATCCTCCGCATTTCGAACATATCCCGAAGGGGCTTTTTTGTCATAAATACCGGGCGCGTAAGGATGGGCCACCACATCGTACGGGACGTAAGGCCAAAGCTCGGCCTTTTTTCCCGTGCGGTGGGCCACACGGGCCACTACTTTATCCGGGTCAACGTACCCAACCACGGTTAGCTTGTTCTGCTTTGGGGTGACCTCGATTGAGGTCACTCCTTTCATTCCCTCAACCGATCTCCGCACTTTCCTTTCGCATCCTTCACAATCGATCTTGATCTTAATCTCCACCGTCTGATGATTAGACAGATGGATAGAGAGTGGAAAAATGTTGTTATGGTTGATAGCATTTATGTTGCAAAATTAATAACATGTCCAAAAGGATCTACATTATGCTCTTGTTTTCTAAAGATGTAGTATATTCTTAGAATCAGAGCAATTAATTTCACCAAAATATCCACTTTAGAAACTATGCAGGGAAAAAAACAAACATAAACAGAGAATCATACATAAGTAAAGCAAATTTAGTAATTGATAACATTATCAATTCAAACAAATGAAGCTTAGCCAATTAATTATGAGATACAGAACATAGGGGTGTAAACGAGCCAAATTTGAGATATTGATACTCGAGCTTTTTATTGAGTCAAGTCAAGCTCGACTCGTTAACTAAACAAGTCAATAAACGAGCTCGAGTTTGGCTCGTTTGGTAAATGAACAGAACCGAGCTCAAACATTAACGAGTCAAGTCGAATACCGAAGTCACAAGTGGCTCGTTTAACAGCTGATAAAAAAAATTCACTGAGAACAAAGCATGAATCTTTAATCTTTTATCATTTTTTTTTTCAGATCTGAACTTAGATCTTATTACTGACAACACTACTTTGAGACAAAAACAGTATAGTATCACTAATAATTGGAGCAAATAATGTATGCATACAGAACAAATTAGAACTTTTAATCCCCCCCAAAAAAAGGACGAACAAGAGTTAAAAAGAGATAGATATACCTGAAGCTGCTTGCGTTTCTTGTGCTTTGAATGGCCACTCGAGCAATCGAACATGTTGGAGAGATGATCCAAAGCGCCCATTTTTTTTTTTTTTTTTTNATGGTATCCGACAAATGAACATGATTGGAATTAAGAAAATATCCTAAACCTGAGTGTACAGTCTACTTTGGACAACAGTTTTTTATAAGATTCGGAGAGTGAAATGCAATAATAATATACATGGAAACGTGTACTTGGTTAGCTGTCTCGGCTAGTCAAAATTTGAGCTTGTCTCGTTCTCATTTTTAGTTTTTTTTTTCTTTTATTTTTTCTTTTATTTAACGAGTTGAGCTTGGTTTTATTCGATTAAGATTCGAGCTCAAATTCAAGTGTCTTAGGACTTTGAATTTGGCTAGTCTATCATCAAGCATAAGTCAAAAANTTCGGAGAGTGAAATGCAATAATAATATACATGGAAACGTGTACTTGGTTAGCTGTCTCGGCTAGTCAAAATTTGAGCTTGTCTCGTTCTCATTTTTAGTTTTTTTTTTCTTTTATTTTTTCTTTTATTTAACGAGTTGAGCTTGGTTTTATTCGATTAAGATTCGAGCTCAAATTCAAGTGTCTTAGGACTTTGAATTTGGCTAGTCTATCATCAAGCATAAGTCAAAAAAAGGTGATACTCGATCCAGTTGACTGGTATTAAAAAAATTAAACATATATAAGATAAGACCAATATTCGACTCGGCTGGACTCATAGTCCCATGGCCAATGAGGTTGTGGAATATATTTCATGTTAAGCAATTACCAAATAAATAACACAAATTTCATGTTTGATGTGGTTGACTGTATTTATTTCATAATGAGGACAGTTGGAATTTATTGCGATATTAGTTTATAGTTTATTAGATTCAGTACATTATGTATGAGTATATGTTTATTCATTTGTAACTGCACCTGTAAGTAACACACAAAAAAATGCGTAAGCCTAATAACAAGTAACACGAGGCACTGGCCTAAAAGCAAGTATATGTGAGCCCATAACAGATGTATTTGCAGCTGAACGAGGCTTCGCCCAATTATTTCCTCTTAATTTACTTTACTAATAAAATGTTATTAGTTTGGATTCTGATAGTTGAAATTCCTGTCGATGCTAACAGAGCCCATCTGAGCCCACTGGAATGGCCCATTATAATACGGGCTACCTGAATAGTTTTATTGCTTAATAAGTATATGCAATTAGAATTGCAAACGAGCCGAGCTTCGTTAAATAAACGATCCTGAAATCGAACTCGAGCTCGACTCGTTTATCACAAACAACGAGCCGAGATCGAGCTTTACCAAGCCAAGCCGAGTTCTAATCTTTAACCAAACGAGTTTTAAATGAGCTCGAGCTTGCCATGTTTATCACACGAATCGAACTCGAGCCTTAACGAATCGAATTCGAGCCGAGCCAAGCTAGACTAATTAAATTTAAAAGCACTATATGCAATACAGCCCAATCCGTAAAATAAAGACAACAAATAACGAGACAGAAAAATTAAAAATGGTGTGATGGAATTATTGGACAGAAGTTTTGGATAATGATTTTTGTTGATATATATATTTTGTTTATATGCAATTGTGTTCAGTATTACGACGAAATCTCACAGTACTCAGACGTCTATTGATTGTCTATGTTAAATTTCTTTTTGAACTCTCGACTTAACAATAGATGTATCGTGTAATACTCTTTCATGTCCCAACTTAGAACATGGTGCATCTTAAGGTGGTCCACAGACCACAGTGAGAGTTTTGTTTGTATAGCTACGCTTATCCTTTGGCCATAGAGCTGTAAACGAAACGAACGTTCGTGAACAAAAGTTCGTTCATGTTCGACAAAAGTTCGTTCGTTTGTTAATCGAGCCGAGTTCGAACAAAAAATTAGGTTCGTTTAATAATCGAATGAACACGAGCTCATTCATGAACGTTCGATAATATTCGCGAACATTAATTTGATAAAATTTTATTTTATTTTTTTATAGATTTACGTAATATTTTTAATAAAAAATCAAAAATATAAAAATATATTTTTTATTTTTTTATTTTCGAGTTCGAACGAACAAATTTCGAGTTAATAAAAAATATTTAAAAAATTTATGTATTAAATTATTCGAACACGAACAAACTCGAACTTTGAGAAACAATTAAACAAACGAGCTCGAACATGATTTTTTGCTCGAAAAATAAATGAACGAACACGAACACTATTCGAACGTAAACGACCACGAGCTCGAACAGCTCAAGCTCGAATCAATTCGGTTTGTTTACAACACTATTTGGCCCTAATGCTTAATGCGTGGGCAACCAATAATGTGTGTGTAAAGCATAATTGAAACACATGCATGCATAGATTCCTAGAAAAAATAAAAAAATAAAAAAAAATAAAAAAAAGTTGCTTCTTGTGTTCATGAATGAAACTTTTGTTCCTATTTTTTCCTCAAAGAAACATTATTGGTTATGGGACAAAGCTTTAATGTCCTAGCTCAAGCTTCAAATCACTTTCATTTTTCTAAAGTTAAATAGTATGTTTCATGAAATATTCAAGGGCCTGCGTGAATACAAAATTACAAATACCTTCGCTCGTGTTTTAGTTAATAAGAGTTAATCTTGAAAAAAATTGTATGGTTAGTTGCTAGTTAAATTTTAAGTATATAGTAAAATAATATTTATAAAATAACTAAAATTGATTTGATATAAAAGTATGAGAGAAATTATATGAATTGATAGTTAAAATTATGTAAGTAAAAATTAAAATTAATGTGATATATAAAAATGATTGATTATTTTTACTATTGTATTGATACAATTGGGATAATAGATTGAATTAAAGTTAAAGTTAAATTTTCAGTACGGATTAAGTTTATTTATAAACAAAAGTTTTGATAGAATGATTATCCCTAACAAATGCTAATCACTAAATATTGGTGTTTTTTTGGGGTGTAAGGCTACGTTAAAGGCGTGTTTTTATTCGTACCAAAAAAAGAGGCGTGTTTTATCTAAAATAATACTTCTTAGAGCCTTTCAAATTTGCGATTAGAAAATTATGTGTGAGATGTCCATTCAGTCGAGGTCGATAAGAATGAAGAAAAACTAGAAACAACTTTATTCAGCTTACGGAAAAATATAATAATACATTATTAATATATAAATGTGAAATATTTATTTTTGGTAACAAGTTAAAAAACAATATATTGGCGATTCATCTATGCAACAAAAGGAATTTAAAGAAAGATCTACATTTATTTATTTATATATTTATATATATTTTTTGATTTTTATAATATTATGTATATTTTGGAAAGATTTGCATAATCTTATTATGTTATTTTGTGTAGGAAATCAGACCCTTGCATGGAGTACGAAGGGACATGCATGGAAAGATGATCAAAGGAAGAAAGAGAAGAGCTATATTCACTTCCATGTCTCAACATCAATATTTGGAAAAAATCAAAAGGAGAAGGAAATTATTTGAAGAGAATTCCACGCCTAAGGAAGATATAAATACCCGACTTAAAAATCAATTGAAGACTGCTGAGATTATTATCATTCATATACTATTCGAGCTGCAATTGAGAGTTAAAGATTTTCTTTGTTTTGTTTCGGTGTTCTTACGTCATCGAAGAACTGAAGCTACTTTTGTTTAATTTTTCTTATAATTATTCAAACACTTTGTTTTAGTACTTAGGGATTAAGTATTGGATTTGCTTGAGGAATTCGAGTGTGTAAAGTCCACGAAACGTGGCTAGAGTTTTTATCAATGAAAGATCTCTGAGGGGTAATGGGGTGCTCCCCGAAGAGTTTTTATCTCTTGTTTGTGCTTCCGCTATTTCAACTTATTCTGATGTTGCAACACAGATAAATTTACAAACATTCCGTGTTCTAACACAGTTGAGCGAACTTTACGGGTAATATCTATATTTCAAAATCAACGAATCAAAGAATCATTGTATTTAATATTATTTCCTAAAAATTCAAAATAGCATTTTCCTAGTTTGTTTAGGCTAACCCTTCTAACTCAGATCTATTCATACGAGAGCTGGTAGCAAAATTAAGGGGGGTGTATTTAATTAGGATTTTTAAGGACTTTTTAAGACTTTAGAAATCCTGGTGTATTCAATTTAGATTTGTTAAGACTTTTTAAAACTTTTAAAAATCCTGGGGTATTCAATTGGGATTTTTAAAAGTCTTACAAAATCCTGAGGTATTTAATTTTTTTGACACTAGGATTTATTAAGACTTTTTAAGATTTTGTGGGATTTCTAAACAAAAAACCTTATATGAAATCCTACTTCAAATCCTACTTCCGGACTTGAGATTTCATTGAATTCTTCCAAAATCTGAAAATCCTAGAAAGTCTCAAATCTTGAAAAGTCTTAAAATGTCACTTAAATTCCGAATTGAATACACCCCCCTAAGACGAAATTTCGCAATTACCATTTAATTTGGCTCGCCAAAAATTTGAATTCGATTTGTTTGTTAATTTAACTTGAGCTTGAACAGTTAATAAAATTGATTTATTAATGAGTCGAACCGAACTTTATTTACGAACAATTCACTTTTAATTTTGTAGGCTTCTAATAAATCAGACTAGCTGAAGTTATTTACGAACAACTTATTTAAATTTTTAAATTATTAAACGAGTCAAGCAGAATCTAGCTGAACGAACACCAGAACAGGAACTACTTGACTCAGTTGAGCTAAAATAACACTCCTAACCGTAAATTACTAGTTTGTTTTTTTTTTTTTTTACNGTGGCCTCCCAAAAAAGGAAAAAACAAAGTTGAGTTTGCACTTATTCATTGTGCACAGATTGCGAGATGAAAACGCATACATAAAACCTCTATATATATATTAATAATGTTGGAATGGGAGGATTTTATTAATTTATATAGATATTATTATATCGATAAATTAATAATTTATTAATTTAAAGAGGTTTTAATGTACATGCACAATTGACCTTCAAAGTTCCAAATTCTTTGAATAACTTTAAGTATACATGCATAGTTATTGATGAAAATTAAGTTAAAATACAAATGTACTAGTAGAATTCCATGAACATAAACTCATGTGGAAGTTGGAATGACTTGTTTAAATTAATTGGTTTTGAAAAATACAAAAATATGGTTCATTGGACTAACATTTGTGAATTGAATCATGGATAGAAGTCAGCATTGAATCAGTTGCTCGACTTTCCGGGTGAAAATAATCAATGTCACGAAGTTTAGAGTCGAGAATAGATAGTGGCTGATGTCATTCATAATCCGGAAGATGATGAAATAGAGGATGATTCAATAGCTTTGCAACCGGTCACTCTCTTCATCGAGGATGATTCAATAGCTTTGCAACCGGTCACTCTCAAAGAAGCATTGCAAGCATCAACAACTCTTCATAACTTTATGTTGCAGTACGAGAAGACAACGCCACAACTATTTGGTGTAGTAATGAGATTTAAAGATGAGATCATCAACATAGATTTGAAGTTCAAGAAAAAGCAAGTTACAGTAGATTCTTATTTTACTATGTTGTCTTAAGAATATTCAAGTGCATCATATATATATATGGATTATTTTTAATAATTATAATTTATTGTTTCGTCGGGATCAATATAAATAAATTGGGATCTCAAAAAAATTATTATGTATAATTTTATTGATTGGGTTCCAAATTTTTACTGGTCCCAACTTGGAATCGGACAAATTATTAATTTTAGCAAAGTTATTAATTTATTGAGTATTAATTTAACGAGATTTTACTGTAATTATTTTGTTCTCTTTTAATAGACGTACGTAAGTATGCAAATCGTGGTCTTTGTCAATTGTCATCTAATTTGACCATATCAAATTTGTTATCTTATATTGCAAACTAGTACAGAGCCCGTGCGATGCACGGGGTGCACAATTTTAAGGCTATTTATCCAGGCTTATAATTATATATATGAATAAAGAAAAATGTACGGGATATATATAGTACGTGACCCGGCGAAGCACGGGATATATTTATTTGGAGAATATTATATTATAAGATGCAATATTCAATAAAAGTTTATAATCCGCAAGTAAATTGTACAATGTTCAATAAAAGTTTTATAATATTCAAGTGGAGTCTTAAAGTCTCTTGTACATTAAGACTACTGACAAAATAATATTTTAATCAATGAGTTTCCTTTCCTTGTAGCCTAATTGTGAATGTGATTTGAGGAGTACAACAAATCGATATATAGCTGACTTGCTTTTTTCATTGTAGTTTTTTTTTCTTTTTTTTTTTATAATGAATTTAAAGATATTCTAAAATATAGCAAAAATTAATTTTTTTTATTACAATTAGGAATTTTATTAAATATAGACTCTCAATCTATGGTGTTAATCAACTTTTAAGTCTAAAAAATTAGGAATTTTTACCTCTTTTAATCAACGTTTAAGTCTAAAAAACAATAGAGTTATTATAAGTTTTTTTCAACATCTTTTAAAACATTAAATATGAGCATGTTAGGGCTAGCTTGTAAAATAATTAATATATTATCTCACTAAAATATTTATACTAATAAAAATTTAATTTTAGCATATAAATTTATCCCTTGATATAAGAGAAAGTAACAGTTTTACTTATTGTTGTTCACCATATAATATTTAATTATTATTTTATTATATAATAAAAAAGGAATATTGTTAAATAGTGTAGTAGAATTGTTATAAAATTATATGATTTTTTTTTTACAATATGGATTTAATATTTTTTTATGATTTGATAATATAAACAAATCTATACTTAACTTTGACAAATAAAACAAATAAATACTTTAGTAAGTATTTAATGTATATACTAAATAGAAATATATTTGGTATAATCAAATACCAAATATAATCAAATAAGTCAAAGTGTACATTTTTATTTGGTATTTGATTTTTTTATTATTAAAATCTTTTTATTATACATACCTTTTTAAAATAAAACAAATAAATTAATCAATTAAATAAATAAAATATTATAATACCAAAATAGTAATGCAGTTGACTTTTCTGGATAGTAAATGTAGTAAATAGAATCTCCTTTTATATAAGTATAAATATGATATTATATTATGTTTTTAAAAATAGTAATACATTTATTGCATTGACTTTGCAACTTACTAAATTTCGTAAATGGTACACCTTATTATATAAGTATAGATTTACGACTAATTAGTGAGATGCTCCACCAACTGATCCCACCAAATTAAAAGATAGAAAACCTAAAATGAAATCAAATTCCACCGAAAGACCCAATATTTCCTCATTTTATTGTTTATCAGCTGTCATATTTTGGCCATTATGTTGAAAATAGCACAACTAGAAAAATGCATTGTTTATCACCTGTCATATTTTTTGGCCATTATGTTGAAAATAGGACAAGTAGAAAAATACAATCACATATGTGATAACTTTATTTAATATTAATCTTTCTCAAATTTATTTCTTTGTATATTTTATTTATATTTCTATATTTTATACTTTAATCTTTTTCATGATATAAGATTTCTTACTTCAAAAATTTTGTATCTTCAAGGTAGTGTCATTGTGTGACAGATATACCATCCCAAAATAAGTAAAATAAAGTAATATAGTTTTAAGAGAAAAGTGAAGTAGTTATGAGCTAATTCACTGTTACTGTATGATTAGTCAAACGAGAAGTTTCGTGATGATCCATGACTCCATGAGCACCTTATGTAACTCCCATTCGTTTTGTTTGAAAGTTTTAAAATTTTTATATTAAATGCATTACGAGTTTTCAAATCTCAAAAAACTATTTACTAAGTCTTAATGAATACATTTAAAAAAAATCAACGGATTATTAATAAAACTAGTATTCGATCTTGTGCATTTGCACAGATATAAATAAAATTAAATATTATAAGTTATATTTATGTATATAATATAAAAATTATAAGTTATATAATTGTATTATATTTCAAACATATAGTATTATAAGTTATATTTATGTATATAAAATTAAAATTATAAATTATATAATAGTATTATATTTTAAAATTTGATCATTGGTTAAAATAAATAGTACACACGATTTGATTGTATACGAATCACTATATTGATTGCATAAAATGTAATAAATATATATTTTTTATAATTTTGAGTGATCATGACCAATTAATTAGCTGAAAAATATTATATTTATTATAACAATTGTTTATGTGATTTTAAGAAATTTTACCATGACATAAAAAAAATTAATTTATTAATAAACAACATCTTCATCATATAAAAAAATATTGATTTTAGTGTAAAATATAATTTTATGTAACTTTTATATATTATTTAGTATAAAATATAATTACTAATTTTAATATTAACTATTATATTATTCAATAAAAAAATATAATTATTAATCAATTGACATAAAATATAATGGTTTTTGTCTTAATTAACCCAAAAAAATGTAATGAAATATTTTCTTATTAATGAGATTGGGTGTATTAATGCCACATAAATAAAATTTATTAGGTTCTATTTATTAGGTTTTATTAATAATTTGCCACATAGGTAAAATTTATTAAGTTTTATTTATTAGATAAAATTTATTGTTTAGCTAGCAATTATATATATAGATATTTTTTTATCACGTAGACCAAACACAACTCATCCTAAGTAAGACTGCCTTTAAGAAGACATAGGGTATAACGTGTAAGTAAGACTTCCTTTAAGAAGACACAGGACATACAATATCACTTATTTATACTTCAAATTAAAATATACATATACATTTTNCATCCCATCGCCTAACAATTAGACTTATACAATAATTTGTGATCATCCTAATGCATTCAAAGTTAGTTGCTCGTATTTCAATTTCAAAATCATCAATTTATAAGAACCTAATGCCATTTATTTAAATCAATCCATTAATCTTGCCAACTTAAATACACAAAGACAACCCCACCATCTTTGTAGTCTAAGATGTGCTTCCAAAACCATTATCGCCTAGCTATAATATATGTGTCTGCCTTAGCTATTGCCAAACAACATTTATAAATTATCTCACTAATTTGGATCTGTAAGGCCGAAAGTCTATTCTAACACTTGCCATCACTCAAAACAAAGAACAAATCAAACTCCTCTTTATTCCCAACCAAATCCCAACTTTGTTTTTTGTTGGTTTCAATTTTTTTTTTTCATCCCTTTGTTGGGAATAAAGTTGGAAGAGGGTCCTTAAGAAAAAAGGGCAATTTTTTGGTGTATAAAATTATCGTTTTCACAATCCAAAAATGGCTATTCAAGCTCAGATGTATTCAGGTTTTGGCTTTGGGGGCTCTCAAGGTTATTTGATGGACAATTCTTGTGCGTTAAATTTCACACCTCAACAGCAGAAATTGCAGGATGAACAACAATCGATGCAGAGAGTACCACCACCACCATTTATGTCGAGGTACAACATGGATGATCAGCTCTCAGGGGCATTTTATCAAACAGTTTGTGCTCAGTTTGACAACCAAAGAAACGAAATCGAGCTGTTCATCAGTTCACAGGTACAATTTTTTCAAAAAGGGGGAAATAAAAAAAGGAAATCAAGCGTTGAGATTCATGATTTTTCAATTAAGATTTTCGATTTGAAACAGAACGGGAGATTGAGAATGGCGGTGCAAGAGCAGAGGAGACAGCAGACGACACAGTTCATGAAGAAATACGAATCGAAGATCCAAAATATAATCAGGCAAAAAGATGAAGAAATCGAAAAGGCCGGGAAGAGGACGGTGGAGCTCCAGGATTACCTAAGGAGGATGGAAATCGAGAGGCAGACATGGCAGAGGGCGGCGAGGGAGAGCGAGGCGGCGGCGGCGTCGCTGAGCAGCACGATCAACCGGCTGAGGGAAGAAACCCCCGCCGGCGGCGCGGCCGGAGACGCCGAGTCGTGCTGCTGTCCTGGAGACGGCGATGGATTTGGGAAACTTTGGAATTTGGAGGGGAAAATGATTTGTCAGAGGTGCAATGTTAGGGTTTCGTGTGTGATTATGCTGCCTTGCAAGCATCTGTGCTCGTGCAGGGATTGCGAGGCGTTGCTTGAGTCATGCCCTGTTTGTAAGGTGGTGAAACGAGCAAGTATAGAGGCTTTGATTTAAATTATTAATTTAATTGTTTTTTCTTATTTTTTTCTTCTTCAATTCGCCCTTTAAAAAAAAAAATATTGAGGTTGATGTGATGAAGATGGAGGGCTCCTTTTTAAAATTATCTCTCAAGAAGAGCTTATAAAAACGAGTTGCTCGTGAGTTCGGATAGGATCATTTGATAAATAAGTCAAATTCGAGCTGGTTTAGTTAACATGTCGAATTGGCTCATTAGGATTTTGAAAATGAAATTTTTTATGTATTGTTTGACTCGAGTTTAGTTTGAAGGCTCGAACTCAATTTGTTAATATTTTATAATTGAGTTGAACTCGAGGTTCGCGTTTAGTTAACGAGTCGATCCCGACTAGACTCGATCAAGGCTCGAGTATCATAATATCAGAAGCTCGAGCTTGTCTCGTTTATATGGTTATTCTTATATAATGATTTAAAGTGTTTAAACGATAATTCTTGAATGTATGTATTTTCATTTTATAAGTTATGTTTAAACATAATATAAATAAAAATATAATATTTTATTATAATATATATCTTTCTTAAAAAAAATATAACTCAAGTAGACCGTTTCATAGCAATATTTGTGTGTATTTCATTTTCTTACACATTGGAATTAGCTTTTGTTGATTGACATTTAGGTGTAAAGAAGGTAGCAATATGCTAGCAATAGCAACTAATTCCAAAAGACACACCAAAATTACAGAAGACTAATTCAGACTCAAAGAGGGCAATTGGCAATTGAAACGGACATAAACTTAATGCAGTTTTATATGTTAAGTATCAAAATTAATTGCATGCTTTGAGCGTGGAAACTGAGCATGGCTAAATTAATTAGGCATTTGTCAACTATATGGTGATTGAATATATTCCAACCTATATAGGATTTATCAACTGCATATAAATGTAGGAAATAAAATAATGAATCGGATCTGTTTTCACAAGTTTTAGGTTTTGTTTTGTTTTATTTTATTTTAAAGGTTTGCCTTTGTATAATTGGACGATTAATTGCGCGGCCTACAAGGTGCTGGTGCATTGTTTTTGACGTTTGACTTGGAGGAAATTTATCCAACATCTTTTTACTTGTAATCTTGGGAATTTGAAATGTTTTTAGATTAGTCCAACCTTAGTATGGACAAATCCAATAAAGATATCATAATTTCCTCCTCACCTATATGAAGAAAAAAATAAGATGCTACAAGAATTAGGTGTCTAATTCATAGATGCCACTATAGATGTTGTAGGTCATTGAAAGGCTTTTTTTCTTTTTTTTTTTTTAATTGTTTGTGATAATTTTAAGATATCAATGCCGGTGGTAGTCAAGGGAAATATTTCATTTTACATTTTATTGCCAAAATTACAATTAGGTGAATATTAATATGGAATGCAACACTGATAAAATGTAAGATAACTGTAAATGTGTTAGAAATGTGTATTTGATCAATTCGGCGAAAACATTCATGTGGAATCCAACAGTAAAGAAATGTGAGATAATTATTTAATGTGTCATACAAATGTATATTTGAGAGGAGTAAAAATTTATAATCATATAATATAAATTTATCATAGATCACTAATACCAAATTATGGAAAGAAAATATCACGTTAGATTATTATAAAATATAAAAATAATACGTGGATTTAAAAATTTTTACGGAATCATTCCGTGACGGGGACTGTTCTTCTCCTTATTATGATTGGAATTCAACCTTCTATAACAAACACGAACAGAAACTTCGAACAAGGCTTTCAAATACTTCAGTCAGGTTTAGGATGAATTTATACGTATTCGTTTGGGCTCGTCCTTTTTACTGTTAAGAGCCCGTTGATGCCATAAATGATAACTCAACAATGGACCCTTTACCCAAATCTCCTTTCAAAATTTGGACCGTTTACAAGTATATGGGCCTTTGTTCTCAAACTCTCTCCTCAATAATCAGTTGTGCATAAATATATGCCAAAGCAAAAAACCGAGTCAAACCGTGTAAGTCGGTACAGTTCGATTCATTTTTTGTATTATATATATATATATAAATAAAAATCAAATTCGAATCAATTTTTTCCTACACTGCGGTGCATGAAGTTATAATTTTTTCATAAGTTTGGATTTTGGTTTTATTTGTAGAATCTTAGCTCAACCAACAAAATGAGATATTGTTATTTCACGTGTATTGACAGTACAAAGAGTCCGAGCCTTTATTTACATGCATCAACCCTAAGCGACGTCGTTCTGTGTATTAGTATAAATCACATTAGACGACGTCGTCTATTCTTATTAAAACGCAAAAACACACGAAAGAAAAGAAAAGAAAAAAATAATAACGGCTATAAAGGAACAAATCGTATGACGTTGAAATGTTGCACGATCCGAGACCATCATCTTCTACACCCCCTCCTCAAGTTGGAGTGTGGAAGTACTGGACACACCCAACTTGGACAACCAACGATGAAACACCGGAAGCGGCAGCAGCTTCGTGAAGAAGTCGGCAATTTGAGCAGTAGAGGACACATACGAAGGCAAAATGAAGCCAGCCTTATACTTGTCACGGACGAGATGACAGTCGATTTCAAGGTGCTTGGTACGTTCATGGAAAACCGGGTTAGCCGTGATGTGAAGAGCTGCACGGTTGTCACACCACAGAGTAATAGGTAGGCTAGGATTGAGCTGAAAATCTTTGGCTAAGCAAAAAATCCATTGCAGCTCACACACAGTAGTTCCCATGGCTCGATACTCTGCTTCAGCTGAAGAGCGAGCAACGGTGACCTGCTTCTTACTCTTCCAAGAAATGAGACTATCTCCCAAGAAAACACAATAGCCTGTGATTGAGCGTCGTGTATCCTTACACGTAGCCCAATCCGCATCACAAAAGGTTGTGAGATCGTGACTGGAAGAACCATTGAGAAAGAGACCAAGGTGTGTAGTCCCCTTAAGATACCGAAGAACTGAAATAGCAGCTTCCCAATGGTCTGTGAAAGGATTATTCACAAACTGACTAAGTTGTTGTATAGCATAACTGATATCAGGTCTAGTCAAATTTAGGTAGAGGAGACGACCAATCAATCGTCTGTACTTATGTGGCTCATCAAGTGGTTGGCCATCAAAACCGGTTAACCTCAGTCCCTGTGGCAAAGGTGTGTTAGCCACCTTACAATTCTCCAATCCCATGTCTTGTAGAATATCAGTGATATACTTCTTCTGACAGAGATGTATACCCCCATTAACCATAGAAATCTCAATGCCCAAGAAGTATTTGGCCACACCAAGGTCTTTAATGGTGAAAAGGTGATGTAAATACTCCTTCAGTGCACATATGTGAGTGTGGTCTGACCCCATAATTAGAACATCATCAACATATACTAGCATGGCTATGAAATTATCTCCAGTAACCTTGGTAAAGAGACAATGATCTTGACTGGATTGCTGCAAACCAAATTCCAACAGCCTTTTGGACAGCTCACAATTCCATTCTCTCGAGGCCTGCTTTAATCCATATAGACTCTTAATCAATCTACATACCTGCCCTTCTTTCCCCTTTTCATAACCCTGTGGCAACTTCATATATACTTCCTCAGAAAGATGTCCATGCAAAAAGGCATTATTCACATCTAATTGCCATATAGGCCATTTGTTTGTGGCAGCCACAGAGATGAATACTCTCACTGTCACCAATTTAGCAACCGGAGAAAAAACCTCAAAATAGTCCACACCTTCCACTTGATTGAATCCTTTAGCCACCAACCTGGCTTTGTACCTTTCTACTGATCCATCAGCTTTCCTTTTGATTTTATACACCCATTTGGACCCTATAGCCTTCTTCCCTTTAGGCAGATGTGTAAGTTCCCATGTGTTGTTTTTTTCAAGAGCTTGCAGCTCCATATCCATTGCTTCCACCCACAACTGATCACCTTTAGCTTGTTCATAGTGAGTAGGCTCTTTACCTTCTTGGATATTGGCTAGGAACACTACATCTGGTGTATCTGCATGACATACATAATCCTTCAACCATCCAGGTGGCTTTCTGACTCTTTTGCTCTCATGTTGGATTAAAGTGTCTGGAGATGAAGAGTTATCTGATGGGTTCTCCATTATGTCTAAGCACTCAGATGGAATCTCATTTTGAGAATTAGCAGGCAAGTCATATACCAAGGGTAAGGGCACTTCTGTTAGTTTCTGAACAGCCTCTCCCTTAAAAGGAAAAATATGTGGCTTGAAGATAACATCTCTTGAGATAAACCTTTTATGGTGTTCAATGTCGAGCAAAACATACCCCTTGCACCCTCTTGCATATCCAAGCAAAGCACATCTATGAGATCTTGTATCCAGCTTGCCCTTGGTAGGATTTGTGTTCACTGCATAAACCAGACAACCAAATGGCCTGAGTTCATCATAAGCTGGTGGCTTCTCATAAACCCTCTCAAAGGGTGTATCCCAGTTAGTTGCTACACTAGGTAATCTGTTGATGATGTGTGCTGCTGTGATAACTGCATAGGGCCAATAGGTGAGATCAATACCTGACTGAAAAATCAATCCTCTTGCTATCTCAAGCAACTGTTTGTGTTTCCTTTCTACTACACCATTTTGTTGTGGTGTATACACACAACTCTTCTGATGTACAATTCCATGCTCCTGAAACATCCTTTGACAAGATTGTCCTAAGAACTCTTGCCCATTATCACTCCTCACTGTCTTGACATTCCTGTCAAATTGTGTCTTTACCATGTTGATGAACCCTTTGAGCATTGCTGCTGTTTCACTTTTAGCATTCATGAGAAACACCCAAACTCCCCTGCTATAGTCATCAACTATGGTCAGGAAATAAGGAGTTTTAGTGATAGACACATCTCTGCATGGCCCCCATATATCAACATGCAATAAGTCAAAACAGTGTGAGGTCTGAATGCTGCTAGATGGAAAAGGCAACCTGTGTTGCTTAGCCTTAAAACATACTTCACAATCTCTTAATTGCTGTTCCCCTGCTGTGTTGCAGTATTTCTTAAGATGTGGAATCTGTCTCAGAGCTCCAAAAGATGCATGCCCAAGAATAACATGCCAGTGCAGGAGTGATGAGTCACTGTTCAGGTTCATGGCTGTTGCCTCTCTTTCACAGTTCAAAACATACAGTTTATCCTTTAAAACACCATTTGCAACCAATTTCTCAGTAATTGTTTGTTTCAATGAACATCCTTCTGAGGTAAATTCACATCTGAGGTTGGAGTTAAGACACACTTGTGTGACAGACAGCAAGTTGTATTTGAAAGTTGGTACCAACAAGACTTCATGCAGCACTAGATCACTTGAAAGTATAACCTTCCCTACCTTTGTGACTTGTTTGCTTGATCCATCGGGCATATAAACTGTTATTGGTGATCTCAGAGGTTCTACATTACACATCATGTGTTCATTGATGC